TATAGGCCTAAGCCTACTTTTAAACTTTTGTAGTGTGTATGGAATTCAATCAATCAAAAGACTTGAGTAAAACCTCTTTGAGTATATCAGATTTTAGATTCTACCTGTATTTGACAAAGGGAGCCATGATTAGCTTTTTAATCCACATACATGCATCTTTCATTTACATCCATATTCATACATTCATTCATTATAATACACATGCATACGTCAGGTCAAAATATAGGTCTCAAAGAGTCTACAACACCTGACTTCGATCATGGAAGATAAAGAGCGTGCTTATCACGAAGCTTACTTCCAAGAGGAATTAGATTCTCTAAAGGTTAGTGTGGCTCACCTCACCAGCTTACTCGAGCAAGCATTAAGGAATACCTCTAGTGAGGGCCCTTCCAATAGACTTGCCACTTTTCCAGCAAATCAACCTGAAGAAATAATAGGAGAACAGACACAGGAGCTCCAGCATAATCCGACATTTATGCAGTCAATAACACCAGTACCAACACTTGTAATTGCAGATGCATTAGCTAATGAGTCCCACAAAACTAAGCCATTAGATGATATTGATCAAGACAAGATGACAATATTGGAGGCCAAGATGAGGGCCATTGAGGAAGTAGACTTATATGATCCAGTATGAGCCACAAAAATATGTCTAGTCCCTAATGTGGTGGTACCAAAGAAATTTCGAGTTCCTAAATTTATCAAATATATCAGAACTCAATGCCCTGTTACCCATCTCAAATCTTATTGCAATAAAATGGCAGAAGTGGTGCATGATGAGAAGTTGCTGATGCATTTCTTCCAAGACAGCTTGAGTGGAGCACCATTGAGCTGGTATATGAGGTTAGATAATACCAGGATTTATATATGAAAGGATCTCGTAGATGCTTTCATCAAGCAATATAAATACAACATAGATATTACTCCAAATAGAACCAGTCTATCTAATCTGGAGAAAGAAGACAAAGAGAGTATAAGGGAGTATGCTCAAAGATGAAGGGATTTGGTGGCACAAGTACATCTCTCACTCCTAGAAAAGGGAATGGTTACTCTATTTGCTAACACATTAAAAGCACCCTATTACGAACATGTGATGGGTAGTTTGGCTCAACAATTCACTGATGCTGTGGTAGTAGCAGAACGAATAGAGCAAGGAATAAAGAGTGGGAAAATCTCTGCACCCATGGAAAAAAAGGGTTTTGGAGTAAAAAAAAGGAAAATTGATCATGTTAAAAGTAGTTATAAAAGTAAGGCCAACTTCAAAGATATAACACTTCATTCTTTTCATCCCAAATTGCCAACACCAATTTCAACTTCCCGATCCTAGCTAGAAAGCCTGAACCCCAAAATCACAAAGTAAAAAACCAAGCTGAAAGTTTCTAAAAAAAAAACTACCAAAGAACCCAAGAACAATTGCCTCCATTATCGCTACTTATGAATGAAATGTACCAAAAGCTACTAAGTATTGGACAAGTAGCCCCCGTACCCTTAGCAGCCTTACAACCGCCTTACCCTAGCTAGTATAAGCCATATCTTACTTGCCACTACCATGCTGGTGTAGCAAGACATAGCATCCATACTTGCAACGCTTTAAAAAAAAGCTTATGCAATTAATCAAAGCGGGATGGATAACATTTAAAGATGCCCTTAATGTGAATACAAACCCTCTACCCAATCATGTTTCAGGTAGCGATTTTGTAAACATTTTAGAAATAGAACACTAAAAACTCTTGAAGGTGCCTATGGATAAGATCTACCAAATGATGGTAGATATAGGGTACAAAGAAGGTAGCGAGAAGTGTTGCAAACATCATAGTATAGAAGGTCATATGATTAATTAGTATGAGGGCTTTCACAAAAAAGTGATGCAAATAATAAGTCATGGATTACTAGGAATTAAGAAAGCAATAGGTGAAGAGGTGTCCATGATGGAAACACTAAATAAAAAGGTATGTCGAGTATAATTTGTTACAAGAAAGCCACCCGAACTAGTCCTGTCCAAACTAGTAGTGGCACATAAAGGAAATTACAATGTCTTATCTCATAACTATGGGTGTTTCTTTAAAAGCACTCAACAGTCGCCTATTTTTCAAGTAGAAATTGAAGGATTAACTTGTAGCAGAAGATGTTTCACTCTAGATGAACTGGAAAAACAAAGAAAAGGTAAAGGTAAATAAAGGGTTGACATGACCAAGGAAAAAAACAAACTTGTCATAAAAGAGGAAACCAATGAATTCTTGAAGCTGATGAAACATAGTGAATATAGTGTTGTTGAATAGCTCAAGAAAACTCCAGTAAGAATGTCACTTTTGCCTTTGATTTTAAGCTTGAAGTCACATAGAAAGGCTCTACAAAAGGTGGTGAATGAGACATACGTTCCTCAAGACATCAATCAATAAGCCATGAAACATTTGGTAGGAAGAATTCAGGCCTCAAATTACGTATACTTCATTGAAGATGAATTTGGTTTCTATGATACCAAACACAATAAACCATTATATATTACAGTGCATTATAAGAACATTTTGATCAGAAAGGTACTCATCGATAATGGTTTTGCACAAAATTTCTTACCAATATATATGTTAAAAGAAATGCCTATCGATGAATCACATATGAAACCTAGCACCTTGATGGCAAGAGTATATGATGGTTCACCAAGACAGATAATTGGGACCCTAGAAGTGGAGTTATATGTGGGGCCGCAGATGTTCTTGATAACATTACAAGTAATGGATATCCATCCATCTTACAACATATTATTAAAGAGGTCGTGGATTCATACAACTGGAGTAGTAGTTTCTTCATTGCACCACTGTTTAAAGTATATCACGAATGGAATGCTGATAACTGTCAAAACTGAAGAGACAGTTTCCATGATAAAAAAATAGGTTATACCCTTCATTGAAGCAGAAGATTGTAGAGATGGGAATGTTCGTACAATTATAAATGGGTCACTCAAATTAAAAGGGAGTTAGGAATAATGAGGATTGAAAGAAGAGAGCCAGAAAAAGAGGAACTTGCCATCCCATCTCTCCAAGTATCTTTCCCAAGGACTGCAGAAGTGACTAAATCTAGCATAATAGATCTCCACATCAGTACCCTGGAGAGCCAAGAAGAAAGACAGATAGAGGAAGTGGATCTGGAAGTGAAGGATGAAGTTCTGCCATAGTTTTCAATTCACATCATTGATGAACCTCTTACTAGATTTTTTATGCGAAGATTGGCTAAAGGAGAGGTGTACCAAAATTAAAAGATGGAGCCTGCCCCTATTGTGTTTAAAAAGTAATTGTCTTGTTTGATCATGTTTGGAGTTGTCTTGACTTGTTTTGATATGTGCTGTTTTGTCGGTAATTTAACTTATGATACCACAAGATTTTCTATGTTAACCAAACACTTTTGTTTTAATGAGATCATGTATTTTCTTGTGTTCAATATATGCCTACATCCTTTTATCTTTTCACGAATCACCCTTACACAAGCACACTTAATGGTTGCAATGGGTGATAAAGAATGAGAGGAAGAAGATATAAAAAAAATTACTAAGTTGGTAGAAAACTCTGAGAAGTCTTGGGAACCTGCTAGTAAGAAACTAGAAGTTATCAACTTGGGAAATGAGCAAGAAAAGAAAGAACTAAAGATGGACATCCTTGTTACAATTAAAGAAAGAGATAGACTGGTCTCTCTTTTATAGGAATATGCTAATGTTTTTGCCTGAACTTATGCAGATATACCTGGTCTAGATACTGATATAGTAGTACATAAAATTCCCTTCCCTTAATAGAAGGAAGTAAACAGGTTAAGCAGAAAACCAGACGAATATGCCCGGACATGTTGCTTAAGGCAAAGGTTGAGATACAAAAACAGTGGGTTGCAGGATTTCTAGATGTGGTCCAATATCCTCAATGGGTAGCTAATGTGGTTGTGGTTTCAAAAAGGATGGTAAGATCTGAGTGTGTGTGGATTATAGAGATTTGAATAAGACGAGCCCAAAAGATGATTTTCCTTTACCTCACATAGACATTCTAGTTGATAATGCTGCAAGAAATGCTATGTATTCTTTTATAGATGGATTTCTGGTTACAACCAGATAAGAATGGCGGAAGAAGACAAAGAGAAGACCACATTTGTCATACCTTGGGGGAACATTTTGCTATAAAGTGATGCCTTTAGGCTAAAGAATGCTGGAGCCACATATCAAAGGGCAATGGTTACCTTATTCCATGATATGATGCACTAAGAAGTGAAGGTTTATGTGGATGACATACTTGCAAAATCCAAAAAAAAAGAAGATCATGTATAAGTATTAAGAAGATTATTTGAAAGGCTACAAAAATACCAATTAAAGCTGAATCTTGCAAAATGCTCATTCGAGTTAAAAACAGGAAAATTGTTGGGCTTCATAGTGAGTGATCAAGGAATAGAAGTTGATCCTGATAAAGCGAAAGCTATTCAAAAGATGACTGCACCTAAGACAGAAAAGGAAGTAAGAAATTTTCTTGGACACCTAAATTATATAGCTTGATTTATATCTCAGCTAACAGTGACCTGTGAGCCAATTTTTCATTTGCTTAGGAAGAAAAATCTTAGAGTATAAGACAATGATTGTCAATAAGCCTTTGATAAAATAAAAAGATACTTGCAAAACCCACCGCTACTAGTACCTCCAACACTAGGAAGGCCTTTGATCTTGTATTTCACGGTAACAAAAACAACTATGGGCTATGTGGTGGGACAACATGATGAGTCAGGAAGGAAAAAGCAAGCTATTTACTACTTGAGTAAAAAATTCAATGACTGTGAGTCATGATACACAACAATTGAAAGGTTATATTGTGCCTTGGTTTAGAGTGCGAAAAGACTCAGGCAGTATATGTTATACTACACAACCTGGTTGATTTCAAAATTAGATTCGCTCAAGTATATCTATGAAAAAAACTTATCTGTCAAGTAGAATAGCAAGGTGGCAAGTGTTGTTGGTAGAATATGACATCGTTTTTATGACAAGAAAAGATGTAAAAGGAAGCATAATTGCCGATCATCTTGTAGATCATGCTATGAAAAACTATGAGTCTCTAAACTTTGATCTCCCATATGAAGATGTGATAGTAATAGAGAATGGAGGTGGAGAAAGTGATACGTGGACCTTTTACTTTGATGGCGTAGTAAATGTATCAGGAAATGAGACAGGGGTGGTAGTAATTTTCCCAGAAAATAAGAAATGTCCTGTTTCAACAAGGTTACTGTTTGAATGTACCAATAATACGGCTAAGTATAAAGCTTGCATTATTGGCATGAAAACTACTTTAGAACTTAAAGCCAAGAAGCTTGAGGTCTTCGGGGATTCCTTACTAATCATCTGTCAAGTCAAAGGTGAATGGCAAACCAAGGATGATAAATTGAAGCTGTACCAAAATTATCTCTTGAGGTTAGCCAATGAATTTGAAGAGATCAAATTCACCCACATAAGTAGAGATAAGAATCAGTTTGCTGATGCCTTAGCAACCTTAACTTTAATGACACAAGTCGATACCAGAAGCAAGATCCAGCTAATAGATATTGAAGTCAGAAGTTTCCAAGCCCATTATTGCTTAATTAAAGAATCTCCAGATGGGAAGCCCTGGTATAATGACATTAAGAAGTTTCTCCAATATCGAGAATACCCTTAAAGGATTTCCAAGACAAAGAAAAGACTTTGAGGAGAATGACCATGAATTTTTACTTAGATGGAGAAATTTTATATAAAAGGTCATTTGATGGGACCTGCTCAGGTGTTTGAATGAAAAGGAGATTGAACAAACATTAAAAGAAGTCAATGAGGGGATTTATGCTACACATGCTGGATTTATGCTACACATGCTAACGGGCATATAATGGCAAAACAAATACAAAGGTTGGGATATTTCTGGTTGACCATGGAGAGAGATTGTATAGATTATGTGAGAAAATGCCATAAGTGTCAGATATATGGAGATAGGATAAATGCGCCTCCAACACCTTTGTTCAATATGATCTCACCTTAGCCTTTTGATATGTGGGGTTTGGATGTCATAGGGCCAATCAACTCTAAAGCGAGCAATGGATATAGATTCATTATGGTGGTCATTGACTACTTCACTAAGTGGGTAGAAGCTAATTCTTATGCCCACATAACACAGAAAGTAGTCAAGAGATTCATTGAAAAGAATTTGGTCTGTCGTTATGGTTTGCCAGCAAGATCGGTAACTAATAACATTTAGAATTTCAATAGAAAGCTGATTGACGAACTATGCACCAAGTGGAAAATTAAACACTTCAATTTTTTCCCTTGTAGACTGAAGATGAATGGGGCAGTTGAAGTAGCTAATAAGAATCTCAAGAAAATCATCCAAAAAATGGTGGTCACCTACAAAGATTGGCATGAGATGCTCTCATACATACTTCATGCATACCACACTGATTAGTACTTAAAAGTGCATTTTTGTCATGGTTTTATATCATCATTTTGCACTTGAAATATCAATAACTCCTTAACTAAAACATATTTTATAATAATGTATCTAATAATATAAGATACCTATAATTTGTGGTAAATGTCTATTTTTAATGCAGGCCTATCACATAAATCAAAGGATTGATTGATGACTTGAAGAACTTAAATTGCAAGGATAAAGAGATGGCCAAACTTAGAAAAGAGATGTCGGTGCAATCCAAACCGGAACACTGTTCGGTAATTGGGTCATATCTAGAGCTATATATCTCAGATTTAGGTCCAATTTATATGGATAGAAAGGTAAGACATAGGCCTACAACTTTCATATGGAGCCCAAGATCTAAAAAGGCCATTATCAAGTCCAAATTGTAGCAACAACAAAGAAGCCCGAATCTGTCTTCCAGCCCGAGCACTGTTCGGTATTTTGGCCATATCTAGAGTTCTAGAAGTCCAAATGAGCTGAAATTTTTACACAAGAAAGCTGAGACAATTGCCTACAACTTTCATGTTTACAACTGGCTCCAATTTTGACGTTATCAATGACGTTTTGGGCAGACAAGAGAAGATAAGGATTGTCACCAAGTCAAAAGTTGGTCACCCACTTATCAATTAGTCATCAAATCAATAGTTCCCATTTTTGGCCTATAAAAGGAGGCATTTGCCATGCATTTAGGCATCTTGATTTCCAGATCAAGATCATGCTCTTCCTTTCTCTCTTTGTATTTTTTATGCTTTGTTTTCATTAATATTAAGTTTATGCCTTTCATTTCCTTTCCTTTACTTAGTTAACTTTTATGTTCTTATTTTGTTTATCTATTTTGCTTTCTTTCATTATGTCTAGCTAAGTTAATTATGTCAAGGTGAAAAGGTTACACTAATGGTGTAAGAATAAGTATAATGTAAACTTAATATGGACTTTAATGTTTGATACTAACATGTTTTATATTTGTTATCTTGTTCACTCTTTAATACTTTGCTTGTTAAATGACTAATCTTGATTTATGTTATATAACACTTGGTACAACAAATGCTTGGCACTTTCATAGCCCATAATGTATGGTATAACCGACACCTGAGCTATGAAAGGAACTTGATTTATTGTTAACATAAGTTATAATCATGAATGCTTGACGAGATTTACA